AACAAAAGTTTCACTAGGCAGGAGACCCGAATGGCCAATTAACATAAGAGAAAATGCTCCCAATCATTACCCATCAGAGAAATGCATAAAAACAACCATGAGATACCACCCAACACCCTTGAGGATAGCCCAAATCAGAAAATCAGAGAGCAACCAATGTTGGAGGGGATGTCCCGAGACAGGAACTCACTCTTACACTGCTGGTGGTCATGTAGAGATGTACAGCCTCTATGCAAAGGGATATGGAGATATTTAAAGCAAATGGAAATTGAGCTACCTTATGACCCACCTATCCCTTAAATGGAAATATACCCAGAAGAGGCAAGATATAGACTACAACATTGTCTGCGCTCCAATGTTTATTGCGGCACAATTCAAAAGAGCAAAAAATTGCTAACAACCTAAATTTCCATCGATAGATGCGTGGATTAGAAAACTCTGGCACATACATACAATGAAGTACTATGCATCACTAAAAAGTACTGGTGATGTCATGAAGCACATCACCTCATAGGAAGAGTGAAAGGAAATTATACTAAGCAAAGTTAGCCACAAAAGGACAATCACAACATGAGTCCACTGAGGTAAGTATAATCAGCACAGTAGGTACTGAAGAAAAGCCACTTATCTCACACTATACCTATTGGGATACAGGCCCTAGGAAGGGGGGCAGGCCAAACCCAAGGATATACGTGCCATTCCAACATAAAGGAGGGGGAAAAGGGAGGGAGAAAAAGGAGGCGGAGACAATGGCACTGGGGGAGCAATGCACTAATCCACACAGGGAAAGAGTATTGTTTATGTCTCCACAGAATTGGGAGTGTGCAGACCCCACCGCAGCACACCAAACCTGAGGGCAACAAAGCCACATGGAGCAACACATGAACCGAGTGGATTACAGGGACCGCCCCAATCAGATCCAAACTGGCCCCCTCCCTAGAAGTATGTGCTGCAGAGGACAACACTAAACCTTTGGGTTTGAGAGAGGGGCTGGCCTGCCACACCCACATGGAAGCAAACCAAGAAGGAAAAAGAGAGAGTGAGGTTCTAGACCCCATATCAGTACACCATGCCCTAAGGAAGACATCCCTGCACAGAGCTGCTAAAGCACAGAGAGGACTGTAGGGCTGACGACAGCTCAAGACACGATGGCCACTCACTGGAGCATACCGCTAGAGGACAATACTGGGGACACACGGTGGGGAGTGAATCCAGTCTGAATCCCCCACAGTGTAGCCATCCAAGAAGCAAACATAGCAGATTACCAGCAATGAGAGAAAAATAAATCCACAAAGTTCCTAAGGAGCCCCCCAAATAGACTTCAGGCTAGGAGGGGCAATTTCTGGAACCCCACAGGCCCAGTGAGGAGATTGTCATAAAGGTCAGTGGACAGACCTGGAATTATCTATGCTTTGGGGGAGTGTTTTTGGGTTGAGTTTTTTTTGGGTGGGGGGCTTGTTGTTGTTTTGGCTAGTTATTTTTTTTTCCTGAAAATTTTTTTCCTTTTAATCCTTTTTTTTTAATTTATTTTGTATTGTCTACGTAATTGTTGGTTTGCTTACCTATATAAGACAGGCATGGGAAGCAAGCCTGAAGAGAAAGCAATGGGACCGAAGGCTCCAGAGGGACTTAGGGGGAGGAGGAGGCAGGGGAAGGGAGCAGAGAACAAGCAATGCCATAGACAGGGGAACAACTAGGGAATCAAAATCAACAATGAGGAGGATATAGAGATTCTGGAAGTGTTAGACAAACAACAATCTAGCTGAGAGGAATTACTAAGAAACAGAAGAAGAGTGTCGCAGTGGGAAAAGAGGAGGGTAAAAGGGAGCAGGGGAAAGATCTAGGAAGCAACGCTGTGGATAGAGGTATAAACATAGGTGTGCACTTTATGTAGATATATTAATTCCTAAAAATAAAGGTATTAGCATAGGTACATATATTTATATGGCAATACATTGAAGAAGTGTATGGACATTGGGCCCCTGCTAAAGACCTCCCTCAACACAAGAACACTTTGTTCTAACAACCTGGCATCCTGTGATGCTAGCTCTCCGGGCATGATCACTGAAAACAAAATGGGTGCACAAGCAAATGTGGTGAAGAAAGTTGATGGTGCCCAGCTATCCAAAGATATAGTGTCTGGGGTCTTAAAGGCTTGAAGTTAAACAAGCTGCCATCTAACCCACATGGAAGGAGCACACCAGCCTGTGTTATCTTGAGGTGTCAACAAAATCAGGTAACAGGCAACAGAAGACCCAAAACAACAAACAAACAAAAAGCCATATTGTTGAAAATGAAGGGGGATTGGAGCAGAGACCCAAAACCTATCTGTAGACAATGAGACATCTCCTCACAGAAGGGTTACAAGGAAGGGATGAGTCAATCAGGGTGAAGTATAGCATTGAAGAAACATACAATATTTCTCTAGTTGCTTGAGGCTTCCTCACTCCCAAATATCATGAACCCAATCCTGCCTTTTGCTGCGGGCTAGACCGGAGCATGTACACAGGTACAGAAAACAACTCAGGGCACGGAATCCAGGTCAGATAAACACCTCAGGAACAGAAATGGGAATAGCAATACCAGGAGGGTAGGGGAAGGTGGGGAGGGGGTGGGATGGGAAGAAACCACGGAGGAAGGGAGACAGCGGTCAGTGTAAGATATGAAAATAATAATAATTTATAATTTATCAAGGGGTCACAAGGGTGGGAGAGGGGGAGGGAGAGTAAAAGGAGGAGCTGATACCAAGGGCTCAAATAGAAAGCAAATGTTTAGAAAATGATGATAGCAACATATGTACAAATCTGCTTTACACAATTGATGTATGGATGGTTGCAAAAGCTGTAAGAGCCCACAATAAAACGATCTTTAACAAATAAATAAATAAATGTTGATGTTGGAGAGAAGAATATTAATCGTGCCATGGACTGCTAAAAGGTAAAATCAATTCCTGTAGGAAGACGTATACTCAGACTGCTCCTTAAAGTCAAGGACGGCAAGACTTCATCTTAAATACGTTGGACTTATTGTCAGCACAGAGCAGTCCTGGAGAAGAGCATCCTGTGTGGGTTGGAAGGCTCAATGGCACATAGCAACAATAATAATAATAATAATAAGCCACTATATCAATCTATTTTTTTCTCACTGACCCTCTACTTTACCAACTTGATGTCCTTCTCCAGGTCCTGGTCTCTCCTGACAACGTGTCCAAAGTCTGTGAGCCCATGAGCGGAAGCCTCACCATCCTTGCCTCAAAGGAGCATTCTGGCTGTACTTCTTTCAAGCTACCTTTGTTTGTCCCTTTGGCAGTCCACGGTACTTTCACTGTTCTTCACCAGCACCATCACACAAATGCATCAGTTCTTCTTCCATTTTCTTAGTTAATGTCCAAATGGCACATGCATTGTTAGTTGTTGGTTGGTGCTATTGAGTCGGTTCTGAGTCCCACAGAATGAAACACTGCACAGTCTTGTACCATCCTCGCAATGGTTCCATTGTTGCAGCCACTGTGTCCACCCATTGCATTGAGGGACGTCCTCTTTTTCATTGCCCCTCCACTTTACGAAGCATAATGTCCTCCTCTAGGAACTGCTCTCTCCTGACAATATGTGCAAAGTATATAAGATGAAGTCTTGTTATCCTTGCCTGTAAGGAGTACCCTGGCCATACTTCTTCCAAGACAGATTTGTTTGTCCTTTTGGCCATCCATGGTACTTTTAATATTCTTATCCAGCACCACAATTCAAATGCATCCAATTCTTCTTCAGTCTTCACATGCAAATGAGGTGATTGTGTTAGTCTGGGTTGACGAGCGAAGCAAATCCATAGAAAGTCATATGTGTATAAGAGAGAGTTTTATAGAAAGTGTAATTGTACATTAAGAAAGCATCCCAACCCAGTCCAGTCCAAGCCAAGTAGAGCATCACAGATGGTGAGTGGAATTGCCCTAGTCAGCTAGATTGTCGTGTAGGTCAGGCAGAGGTTCCCGCAGCAGCACAGAGCACTGGAGATTGTTCATGGAGCTGCCTTAGGCAGTGTAAGGAACTATGGCAGGCAGGAGGGAGTTCCCTCAACCACGTGGGACCACCGAGGACAGGCAGGGGCTCCCCCAGCCATGCAGAACACTGTGAAAGGCAGACAGAGGTTCTCCCAACCAAGTGAAGCACCCCAAAAGGCGGACAGGAGTTCCCTGAGCCATCTTGGAGGGTAGGCATGAATATCCCTGTGGTGGGCAGTGGGCGGCTTTCCCCAGCCACATGTTACACTGCAAAGCTCGGGGCTCCCCCAGCTGGGTGGACTGTGGACGTAACTGTCCGAGGCTAAGGGGTGTGGCCTGGAGGCCGCCAGTGGTGTGAGAGGAAAGAGAAAAAGAAAAAAACAAAAAACTGATTCAGCTGAGACTATTGGGGGAAAGAGAGAGAAACACATGTAATATATATAGTTGATTGCCATAAATAACGGGCTGGAGATTAATGTAATCTCAACCTAAACTCTCAGTTCATATGTTATGTCTTCAAGAAAGGCTTCTTTGTTCACTCTTATCCCCATAACTATATCAATTTCTCTTACACAATTCTTTTTTTTCTATTTCTAGACTTTTATTTGTCTGTGAAAAGGGGAAAAGAGAGGGAGGGGGGAGAATAAAATAAAAACAACACAACTGACACAAAAAAATCACTGAGGTGGAAGGAGGGAGGTGGAGAAGTTGACAGGAGAGGGGTCCTTGATGCAGCAGCAAGAGCCAGGGACCTGGGAAGCTTGAGTCTCTCCCTGGCTGGGCGGGGCCTTGCCTCCCAGGGTCTCACGTGTTCACCCAGCCCCCCTGGGAGGTGAACAGTGAGGAGTCGTCCTGGGCTGGGGAGGGGACGAGTCATGCTGGGGGAAGGGGCCTGGGGTCAGACCATGCACGGGAGCGGCAGCCAAAGGCCCCCGACTGCCTCCCCGAGGGAGGGGCATGGGTAGGTAGACACCCAAGGCCAGTGTGGGCTCTTCTTTAAGCTTCAAGCCAGAGACAGAACAGTCAGAGCCTCCTGGGCAGAGTACTTGACGTCCACATCCTGGTCCTGGGTCAGCTTCTCCAGGACGGGCTTGCCCTCACTCTGCAGCATGCTGTTGTCCAGGATGGGGCCTATCTTCTGTAGGGACTTGGCCACATTGAAGCAGATGTTAGCAACCGGGTCTCCAGCCATTCGCAGGACGGTGGGCAGCATGTGCTTGGTGGTGATGTCCTGTCCACAGACCTCAGACAAGACGTTGATGCAGAAGAGCGTGGTCA